GTTTGGGACATCCTAGGGCTCGGGTGGCAATGGAAGCGAAGCTCTGGCTGGGGAGAGGCTCCTCGTCCCTGGGATACAGACAGGCTTTTTGACGGATCCTTCTGCCTCCAGGCCAATGAGACCTGCAAGTGTAACGGCTGGAAAAACCCCAAGCCCCCCACCGCACCCCGCATGGACCTGCAGCAGCCAGCTGCCAACCTGAGTGAGCTGTGCCGCAGCTGTGAGCACCCCTTGGGTAAGGCAGGCAGAGTGCCCTTGGATCTGGGGCGGGGGAGAAGCAGGTGCTGGCTCCTGCTTGGGCAGGGTGGCTTAAGTGCCACAGAGCTTCATCTTTTAAAAACCAAGGGTGCCTTCTAAGGAGGGATTGGGTGGGGAGGGTGTATGCCCCAAAGGAGGAGAAAGGAAATCTGCCAATACAGAAATACAAGGGGCCCCCAGGGGCTGACACAGGAATAGTCAGTCTCGTTTCCGGTCAGAGAGGGACCGGGGTGTATCTTGGCTGGTGATGAAGACGGGCCGGACGTCCTGTGGATCTCTTCTGTCCACTCCCCCAACTCTACCCCCTGTCCTTGCAGCGGACCACGTGTCCCACCTGGAGAATGTGTCCGAGGAGGAGATCAACCGGCTGCTGGGGATGGTGGTGGATGTGGAGAATCTGTTCATGTCTGTTCACAAGGAGGAAGACACGGACACCAAGCAGGTCTATTTCTACCTCTTCAAGGTGAGCTTTCTCCACGTGCAAGTGAGTGAGCCAAGGGGTGGAGGCTGGGGGGTCTGCAGCTCTTGATCTCTGCCCCTCCCTCTTCCCCTACCTCCAGCTCCTTCGGAAATGCATCCTGCAGATGACCCGGCCCGTGGTGGAGGGGTCTCTGGGCAGCCCCCCATTTGAGAAGCCTAATATTGAGCAGGTGGGATGAAGAAGGGGGCAAGAGAATTGGGGGCATCTTGGAGGAGTGAGGAGACTGGGAACAGGGGAGAGGTTCCAGGAAGGGAGGATGTTTTGTGCTAACCTCAGTGTGTGCATAGGGACCGTGACGGGTCATAGTGTCTCTTCACAGAGAGCCTCGGAATGAGAGGAGAGCCTTGCCCCTGCCCTCAGCAAACCCCTAGTTTTGGACAAGAAGCCCGTGCTGGCTGCTCACACCTCCTTCCTGGTTTTTGTCGCCCCACCCACCCCTTCTCAGGGTGTGCTAAACTTTGTGCAGTACAAGTTCAGTCATCTGGCTCCCCGGGAGCGGCAGACAATGTTCGAGCTCTCGAAGATGTTCTTGCTCTGCCTTAACTACTGGAAGCTTGAGACACCTGCCCAATTTCGGCAGAGGTCTCAGGCTGAGGACGTGGCTACCTACAAGGTCAATTACACCAGGTAGGCCCAGCCAGGAACAGCACGGGGAGATGCTCATAGGCTCAGCGGTTTCCACTCTCATCACCTTCCCGCTTTCCGCAGATGGCTCTGTTACTGCCATGTGCCCCAGAGCTGCGATAGCCTCCCCCGCTACGAGACCACTCACGTCTTTGGGCGAAGCCTGCTTCGCTCCATCTTCACCGTCACCCGGCGGCAGCTGCTAGAGAAGTTTCGGGTGGAGAAGGACAAGCTGGTGCCTGAGAAAAGGACCCTCATCCTTACCCACTTCCCCAAGTAAGGCTCCTTCTGGCCTATCAGGATTGTGCCCCAAGGTCACACCCTCCCTTTGTCCCCTTTTTTTCCAGGAAGGCTTCCTGGATTGGTCCCTCCTCTCCCTCCATCAGCCTTCTGGGATCTGGGTGTCTACCTGGCCGACTTGCCCACGGCCCAGATGCAACCTGTTAGCACTTTTGTACTCGTCAGGGGATGTCAGATACACGGCCCGGGTGCTAACACTACCCCTGCCCGCACCCCTGGTGTCTGCAGTTGGTATATGTCTTAGACCAGTTTCCCACGGGGCCTATTTTAAACCTGCTCATAGCTTTCCCGTTCAGGAAGCCTTTACTGACTAATCCAGAACCTCCAGTGTACCTTCTGCCACCAGGTGGGAGTAAGGTGGCAGGAGGGGGTGGGTTCTGACCCCCATTTTGATACTGAGGCCCAGGGCGATTTGGTGCCCGGCCTGGTCACACAGTACAGAGTGGTATCCGTTCAGACCCTGCCTCCCTCTTCTGTACACGATGGCAAACTGGGCCTCTGGTCTCTGTCCTGGATTTGTCCTGTCCTCCTACCTTCAGCTAGGGTCTCCCAGGAGCCGGGGGACTGCACCTCCTCCTGGTCTGAAGGCAGAGGTTGTCTCTGTTCCTAGGCTCCCAGTTCCTGAAAAGAGGGTCAGGCTCTCTGACCCACCTCCAGCCCCCCTGGTGCCTGGCCCAGGCTGCTCCCTTGGTTAGAACTGTGGGACAGACTGTACCCTCCCACAGGTTCCTGTCCATGCTGGAGGAGGAGATCTACGGGGCAAACTCTCCGATCTGGGAGTCAGGCTTCACCATGCCACCCTCAGAGGGGACCCAGCTGGTGCCCCGGCCAGGTATGTGCCACAGCAGGTTTTACAAGATCTCTGCTTGGCCTTCCTGGCTGAGCTCAGGTGACCCCGCCCCCCGCTGTGGAAGAGGGGCTTCAGATAGCAGGAGGGAAAAATGCAGGAGGGCTCCACTGGGGGTTGGAGGGTCCAGATCCCTTTTTAGGGCCCACCAACACCTTTGGAACCCCCGCCCCCGATTCTCCTGTCTCTCTCAGCTACAGTCAGTGCAGCCGTCGTTCCCAGCGCCCCCATCTTCAGCCCCACCATGGGTGGGGGCAGCAATAGCTCCTTGAGTCTGGATTCTGGAGGTGCTGAGCCCATGCCAGGTGGGTACTTGGCCCTGACACCCGCTCAGCCCTCCCCCAGCCTCTCTGCCTCTCCCTGGAAGACCTTGCCGCCCTCCCCAGCAGGTGAGAAGAGGAAGCTCCCAGAGAGCCTGACCCTGGAGGACGCCAAGCGGCTCCGTGTGATGGGCGACATCCCCATGGAGCTGGTCAACGAGGTCATGCTCACCATCACCGACCCTGCTGCCATGCTGGGGCCCGAGGTGGGCGGCTTGGCTTGCTGGCCAGCGGGGGTGGGGAGCGGCCCTTGTGGCCCTGAGGTCCTTGCTCACTGCCCCTTTTCTGGTGCCCAGACGAGCCTCCTGTCAGCCAATGCAGCCCGGGACGAGACAGCCCGCCTGGAGGAGCGCCGCGGCATCATCGAATTCCACGTCATCGGCAACTCGCTGACACCCAAGGCCAACCGGCGGGTGTTGCTCTGGCTCGTGGGGCTGCAGAATGTCTTCTCCCATCAGCTGCCACGCATGCCCAAGGAGTACATCGCTCGCCTCGTCTTCGACCCGTGCGTCCCCAGGAGAGCCCCCACCCCGGGGCACCACATCCGGGTGCCTGTCCTGGGCCTCCACACCCCTCCCTAGGGCTCTTCCTCCTCGGTTCCCAGCCCTGAATACCGCTCAGCCCATCACGGCTATGGGGACCCGAGGAGCATTTGGGGGGCAGGTAGGGAGCGTGACCTGTCCCCTCTCCCCTCAGGAAGCACAAGACCCTGGCCCTGATCAAGGACGGGCGCGTCATCGGGGGGATCTGCTTCCGCATGTTTCCCACCCAGGGCTTCACGGAGATTGTCTTCTGTGCTGTCACCTCGAATGAGCAGGTCAAGGTGGGTGCATGCCCCCTGCCCCTGCCCCATCCCACACCTGCTTCTGAGTTCAGACCAGATCCCAGTAGAGGATGTGGTGGTGCAGCCGCCCCCAACACTTCTTTTAGTGGCCAAACAGTTCCTTGGTTCCCCACAAGGTGGCACTTGTGCTCTGATAACGGTGGAATAAGAAAATAACCTGTCACCCTAGCTCACTCCGCTCTGTGGTTAGAGTGTCAGGCCCACGCAATAGAGGGTCTCGCATGAGATTCCTGGTCAAGGGCACATACCTGGGTTGCGGGTTCGTTCCTGCCCCTATTCAGGGTGTGTGCAAGGGAGGCAACCAATCAATGTGTCTCTTTCACATCCATGTTTCTCTCTCCTGTCTCTCTCCCTCCCTCCCCTCTCCCTTCCACTCTCTAAAAAAATGAATGGGAAAAAATCCTCAGGATAAAAAAGAAAGAAAGAAAACACCTGTTGACAAATGGATCCTGAGAGTCAGTCACACTTTTCTTTTTAATCCTCCACCCAAGGATATGTTTTTATTAATTTGAGAGAGGGGGTCGAACCTGCAACCTAGGAATGTGCCCTGACTGGGAATTGAACCCCCAACCTTTTGGTGTATGGGATGATGTTCCAACCGAGCCACCTGACCAGGGCAGAATCAGTAACACTTTTATTTTTTATTTATTTTTAATATATTTTTATTGATTTCAGAGAGGAAAGGAGAGAGAGATAGAAACATCAGTGATGACAGAGAATCATTGATCAGCTGCCTTGTGCACACCCCCCACTGGGGATCGAGTCCGCAACCCGGGCATGTGCCCTTGACCGGAATTGAACCTGGGACCCTTCAGTCCATAGGCCGACGCTCTAGTCACTGAGCCAAACCAATTAGGGCAGTAACCCTTTTAAATGGACCTGAAATGTTGTCATCACAAGAACGTTTACATACATCGGGGAGTTAATTTTTGTAGCAGCCCTGTGCTGGGTGATAGTCCTGGCTTCTAGCCTCTCATGATCACAGCA